GCGGGGCGGTGGGCGGGGCTCCAGGGTCCTCTACTTGGCCTCCAGAGCCAGGGCGATCATGCCAGCGGCCAGCGGGGCGGAGGCCGAGGTGCCCGTGTGCTTGTCGGTGCACTGGTGGTGCAGGTCCGTGGTGACCTGGGGACAGACAGAAGAGGGATCTTGAGCGCAGTGCGTGGCCCACATGGAGGTCTTGTAGGGAAGGTACTAGGGACTACGTTCACAAAGTAGGAAGACGCTGAGGACTAAGCTCAAAAGTAATAAAGCCCTAGGCCTGGTGATGCGGGCGTTCAGTCCCAGCACTCGTGGGGCAAGGCAGGCGTAGCTGTGACTTCTAGGCTGGCTTGGTCTACATGGTGAACACAAACGACTAAGTTTAGCAAGTACTTAGTCAACAATGACTGAGGACCAAGATTTAAAACTGCTAAGGACTAGGTTCCAAAACCACTGAGCATTGAGTTCAAAGGGCCCTACATCTAAAAAGTACCAAGACCAGCTGGCCGTGGTGGCACAAGCCTTTAATTTCAGCCTTTGGGAGGCAGAGGCAGGCAGATCGCTGAGTTCCGGGATAGCCTGGTCTACAGAGTGAGCGCCAGGACAGCCAGAGCTACACAGAGAAACCCTATCGAGAAAAAGTGAACAAACAAAAACGTGCCAAGATTCTGAAGTCAGCCTCAGCAAGCACCTAAGCCCTGGTCCTTGGCCCTTACCTGGGGGACAGAAGTGCTGAGGGACAAGGAGCCACAACTGCACAGACCCCATGTGTCACGTGTGGGGTAGGAGACCTGGGAGCTGGTGGCGCATGGGGGGGGGGCGGGCTGCAGGAGGCCTCCCGGTAGACACAGGAGGACACAGGTAGCAAGGATCTTGCCCAGGAAGGCAGAGGGGAGTTGCCAAGTGAGTCGGCATAGTTGCCTCTAGGCTTGCACTGGGGTCAGAGCAGCAGTGAGCACGAGCCGGGGCAGGAAGGGCAGGGCCTGTGTGGGCCATGTCTTGTGGAGTGGGACTTGCTTGGGGATCTGGATCTGAAGGGATGGGGCCTCTGCCTGATTGAAGCCTGGGGGCGGGGCACGAGGAGGCGGGGCCTGGTGAGGTCCCTGTAGGGGCGGGGCCTGTGGTGAGGGCTGGGTGCTCACGATCTGTGGGTCGGTGGCCACTCCGCTACTGAAGGTGGTGGTGAACGTGGAGGCACAGGCCTCGCTGTACCAGGGCACTCGGCCCTGCCGCGTGGTGCTGCCCACTGATAGCGTGTGGATGCTGTTGGTGTAGCCGTCACAATTGCAGTTGTCGTAATGGAGGCCACCGTTTCCCGAGGCCCAGATGAACAGTGTGCCCAGCCCTTGGCGGCCCTGGGTGGGGAGTGACCCAGGAGAACAGAGTCAGCCCTCCACCCTCAGGGTCGGGTACCCTCCGCCAAGGGTGCGCTCCCTGTGCACCTTGGTCACGCCACGCCTGAAGGCCTCCCGAGTGAGGATGCCTGGCCCGTCCACCGTGCGGCCGTCATCCTCGGGCCCCCAGCTGGCGCTGTAGATGTGTATGTGTTGCGGCTGCAGGCTGAGAGACTGTGCCTCCACGATGTCGGTGATGGTTCCATCCAGCATGCGCACGCCTGCGCGGGTGGTCGTGGGCCTTGCGCCAGCACCAACACTGGTTGCCCTGCCAGGCCACCTCCCTGCCACCTTTTGGTCACCCTCAACCTGGGGCCTGGCACTGCCCAATAATCAGTGGTGGGAATAGGGAAGGGTTTGGGGTAGTGTTTCTCCATTGGTCAAGCTATCCTCACATTCCCCAGCCTCCACCCCTGGTACCTCCAATTCTGGCGTTGAAGGCCACACCAGCACCACAGAAGCCGTTGTTAGCTGTGGCAGACACCTCCCCAGCGCAGCGGGTCCCATGCCTGATTCCAGGGCAAGGAGGAAAGCATCCATGGGTCCCAGCCGCTTTGGCATTTCTGCAGGCCTGGGGAACACCTGGTACATCAGCACCTAGCTCACCGGTTCTCATCACTGGGTGTGTAGCGAGGCTGGGGATCTGGGTCATAGTCATTGAAGTCATAGCTGGCCAGAGGGTCCTGGAAGGTAGGCAGGGAAAGAAAGATGGAATGAGGTGTGCCTGGCTAGATCTGGGGACTTGCCCTGCTGCCCCACTCATGGGAGGACTCACATAATTTTTTAAAAATATTTATTTGTTATATATACACTGTTCTGCCTGCATGTCTGCCTGTAGACCAGAAAATGACACCAGATCTTATTACGGACAATTGTGAGTCACCATGTGGGTGCTGGGAATTGAACTTAGGACCTCTGGAAGAGAAGCCTGTGCTCTTAACCACCAAGCCATTTCTCCAGCCCAAAGACTCACATAATTAGCCCAGAGGTCTGGATGGTCTTTCTCAATGCCGTCGTCCAAGATGGAGACCACCACTCCCCGGCCGGTCAGTCCCTGGTTCCAAACCTTCAGGATGTTGAGATCTGGCTGTATCTCGTTGTTCTGTGACAAAGAGGGACCTAGGGTCAGTGGGTCTCGGGAGGCTGGTCCCCTCCCCCATCCACTCAGTCCATCCCAAGTGCTCACCATGTACCACTGCTTAGAAAACCAGGGGTCTGTGGGCACCACCAGGGAGCGCTTCACCCGCCGCCTCAGAGTCTGCTGCTCAAACCACTGCACCTGCGGAGGGCACAGGCTAGAGCAGTCTCTGTCTCCAGGGTGTGGGGTGTAGACAGGGGCTAGAGCAGTCACTGCCCCTAGGGTGTGGGGTGTAGACAGGGGGCTGTGGACCTCCATGTAGGTCCTTGCTAAGAGACAGGGATGTTGGCTTGGACTGCTCTTTGGGTCCTCCATGAGCCTCAGGCTGTGTTCTCAGAGATGGCTGAGGCCCAAGGATGCATGAATGATGACACTGGGATGGATGGGTGTTGCTCTTCTGGTTCCAATCCTACTCCTTCTTCCTTCCTTGTTCTAGATCCTTCTCACCAAGTCCTGCTGGCTCCTCCCACAGCACTAGTTTTTCTTTTGAGACAGGGTTGTGCTGTGTAGCCCTGGCTGGAACTCACTGTTTAGACAAGCTGGCCACATTTGGAATGCTGTGGGGTCACAGGGGTATGCCACTACTCACTCCTGGCGGGGCAGCACTTTTTGAAAACCCATCACTTCCTGCTACGGACCTCAGAATTATTCAGTGAGAGTTCAGTGCACAGTTCAGGGGTCAGCCCATCAGACACACACATCTCATGGAGGCATATTGTCACTTGAGATGCACATCTCATAGACTTTATTTAGCAAGGGGATAGGAATTCTGCCTTCTGAATGTATCAGCTGTGCTCAGGGCAGACTTCTTGTATAAAGCTCTTTCCCTCACATTCCAGTGTGGGGATTTCTTCCCACAGCACTACAGTGTGTTAATCGTGTACTGGGCACATTTTTCCCTGTGCATTGGTGCATTGGATGACTCCTCTCCCGCCCCAGCTATTGGTGATTCTGGCAAGAAAGTAATCACACTCAATACCTTACTCTCTCAATAATTTCTTTTTATATAAAACTTAGAAGTCTGCCCCATCCCAATTACCTTCCTTGCAGATGGTTGGTCAGTGTTAGTGTCCAGGCAAACAGACCTCTACTGAGACATTCACAGATGCCCAAGGACAAGAATTAGGGCATGTCTGAAGTTTTTCAGCCATAGTGCTCAGAGAGGTAGAGAATGAGAGTGTCCTGGATCCACTCTGCCAGCAGATAGGGAAGTGCTGTCCCTTAGAGCAAATCCTAACTCTTTGTACTTAGTTTTACCTCAGTCTATTGAAGCAAGAAGTCTACTGCTTGTATTTTTCCATGAGAGATAGCATAGGATGTAATCCTTAGAGCCAAAAGGTTCTCATTAGCTGCTGATTCTTGCCTTGCTCATGATTCAGCTTATTTACTTAGTCTTATTTAAGAAAATATCAAAGCACGTGTATTCCCCTCTTAAATTTCCCAAATGACTTAGTCTCTCCCTCTCTATTAATTTATGGCCCCCCCTTGTTTTTTTGGTTTTTCAAGACAGGGTTTCTCTGTGTAGCTTTGGAGCCTATCCTGGAACTAGCTCTGGAGACCAGGCTGGCCTTGAACTCACAGAGATCCGCCTGCCTCTGCCTCCGGAGTGCTGAGATTAAAGGCATGTGCCACCAACGCCCGACAATTTACCCCCCTTTTCCTTTAAGTTTATTTTGGAAGCTTAACCACTTCCACTTTGAGCCATAAAGAAGGGCTGACAGATTTGGTTTTTCGAGGCAGGGTTTCTCTGTATTGTTTTGGAGGCTGTCCTGGAACTCGCTCTGTAGACCAGGCTGGCCTCGAACTCACAGAGATCTGCCTGCCTTTGCCTCTGGAGTTTAAAGGCGTGAGCCACCACCACCCAGCTCCATGTAAAACTTGTATCCGTTTCTAGGACCCTGAAAATCTGTAGCCTTGCACCTGGCTAGAGCCAGAGAATTGCTGATTGTGTGTGTGTAGAAACGGGAGGGTGGCAGGACAGGATAGCAGAACAATAAAGAACACATGAAGAACATGTGTGTCAGGTGGTGTGTAACATCTTTTACCCCTCCTTCGTTCCTGAGAAGCATTTCACCTTTGGAACCTTGGGTAGGGGCTGGAGCAGATCTCCTAGACCTTATAACTTCTGACACTCTTCCTGGGTCAGGACAGCCCTGGCCCCATCCCCATGTCCACAACTTCCACTACCTCCTAGTGTCTGTCTCCTCGTTTTACATTTGTATATTCTCTCTCCCTTCTGTGTCTCTCCTCTGTCTTTCCTTTCTCTCTGTGTGTCTGTATGTATGCGCACCACGGCATATATGGAGGTCAAAGGACAGCTACTGGGGCTGGAGAGATGGCTCAGTGGTTAAGAGCAAAGGCCGCTCTTGCAGAGGATCAGGGTTCAATTCCCAGCATCTACATGGCAGCTCACAACTACCTAAGACAAATTCCAAGTAAATCCTGTGCCCTCTTCGGACCCCCGAGGGCTCCTGCGTGCCTGTGGTGCATCATGGGTAAGCAAGCAGGAGAGACACTAATGACACACGTTAGTCAGAAGTAACAAGTAAGTCTTTTAAAAAGAAACCATGGAGTCAGTTTTCTCCTTCCACTATGTGGATGGTGGCGAGAGCTCAGCCAGACTGAGCAACCATCTTTTTTTTTTTTTTAAAGATCTTATTTATTATGTATACAACATTCTGCTTCCATATGTATCTGCACACCAGAAGAGGGCACCAGATCTCATAAGGGATAGTTGTGAACCACCATGTGGTTGCTGGGAATTGAACTCAGGACCTCTGGAAGAACAGTCAGTGCTCTTAACCTCTGAGCCATCTCTCCAGCCCCTGAGCAACCATCTTTACCCTCTGAGCCATCTCACTGTCTTCTGAGATAGGGTCTCACACAGCCAAAAATGACCTTGAAATCCTGATCCTCCTGCCACCAATGACAGGTGTGCGTTTTCACTATCGCTTTAAGAGCACTGGGATGGAACCCAGGACTGCCTGCTTGCTGAACAAGTGCTCCACCCACTGAGCCTGAGCCCCTGTCCACCTCCCTCTTGGTCCAACATCACCAAATCTATTGCCCTGCTGGCCTCCAGCAGTCAACCTGCTCCTCACTTAGCTACAACTAACAACCAAGAAAGAGCTCATGTGTTCTCTTCCACCCCAGGGCCTTTGCAAGTGCTGTTCTGCCAGCCCAAACCAGCTCAAGTCCCCTCTCCTTACACCTCCAGCTTGGTCTGATGAGCCACACTCCTGGCTAACCTGGCTTGACCTCTCTGTCCATCTACCCCATCCATAGCCTCTCATCTCTTGTTCCTTCTCTTTACCCCATCTATTTGACTTCCTTCTTGTCAAGATTTGGCCTCTGAAAGGCACTTGGTCCCTGTGGTGGTTTGAATGAGACTGGTCCCACAGGCTCTTATATTTGAATGCTCAGTCCCCAGTTGGTTTGGGGAAGTGTGGCCTTGTTGGAGAAGGTGTGTCACTGAGAGGTTCTCTCTGCCTCGTCCTTGTGGGTGAGGGTGAAAGTTCTCAGCCACTGCCCCAGTGTGCCAGTCTGCCTGTCTGCTGCCATACTCCTCGACATGGTTGGTGGTCATGGAATCACCCTCTGACGCTGTAAGCTCCAATAAACTCTTCTTTCTGTAGGTTGCCTTGGTCATGGCGTTTTTGTGTCAGCAATAGGACAGTTACTAAGACAGTTCCTGACACACAAAGTGAGCACCTCTTCAGTGTATCTTGTAAGCCTCTATGGCTTGCACACTCACAAATCCATACCATTCTTTGACTACTGTTTAGGGGCTGTTCCCTGTGAGGACTGATCTAATGTGGATGTTTCCAAATAACACAAAGCACCATGGGCTCCACTCCTGATTCGGCTGCACAGTCACTGATTCAGGTTCTCACCTTGGGCATTGTTTTCTAGTCTGATAAAATGGACCGATTCTCTTCCCTACGTCGTATGGCTTGGAGCAGGGAAGGACCAGTGTGTGAGAACCTCTTTCCTTGAGAAGCAGGGCAGGGGCCGTCAGTATGTGGCCCCCCAAGTGCCATGTTGTGGTAGGTGTCATGCTCATACATGACGTCCCCAAGCAGGCCCCACTTGACACAATAAGAATGACTGAAGGTGGCTGGTTGGCCTTAGGAGATGGCAGCCATGGGCTCACTCACCTTGGGCTCTTTCTTCAGGCGCAGACGGTGGCCCCAGTGGGGGGTCAGGGACTGCTGAGCCACACCCCGGTGCCGTAGATGGAAATAGTGGTCGTCGGGAAAGATCTGGGAATGTGATGGACAGGGGCATCGCTGGGACCTGGCTCCTTTGATACAGTCCCAAGGATGGAGTCCAGTTTCTGCGGCATTATATACCTCAACCAGGTGCCCAGTTGAGGGTCGCAGAATCCCAAATTGAATATGGAGGGGGCACGTAGACACGTTCGTTCTTCATATCCGGGGAGGTCTTGGGGACCCCCTCCCATCTGTCCGGGTCTGAGGTCGTCCAGGTCCCCACCCATGGCCCATCCATCCAGGTCCCACCCACCCACCTGTCCCAGGTTGATGAAGCCAAATTTACGTGCCAGGCGCTCAGCCTCCTGGTAACCTTTG